GGTTCACGTCCTCAGGTGTCTCGGCAGGGACCTCGGGGGCCTCGACACCGTTCTCGTTGGTAGCGGGATCGGGGGCATTGAGGCAGGCCTATAGGTTCAGGGGCGTCAGTCGCGTGCGAATTGAGTCGGCAGCGATGAGACATACCTGGATGAGGTTCTTTCCTTCGGGTTTCGTAACCAGTGGCTGCAGCTTGGGGGTTGTGAAGGTGTAGACGAGGCCGGTCTCGGACACGACCAGAAGAAGTACTTGAGTACCCGTGAGGACGGAGAGTTCGTATGCCTGTGACGCGACCGCATTGATTCGTCAGCCGGTGTTTGCCCATTATTTACTTCGGTCGAGACAGAAGACGGCAAGGTAATTGACAATAGGATCGATTAAGCATAGACCATATGGCGGGTGGTGCAGAAAGCAGAGGGTGCTTGGTTCGGTCGCGGAGGTACTACGCACCTTCTTCATGATACCCGCCTTCCGCTTGGAGAAGGTAATGTGGCGACGCGACTTGTCCTGGATGAACTTGATCTCAATCTTTCGTCGCTCGCGACCGGTCTTGTCCTCATCATCGTCGTCGTCGTCGGCGCTCATGCGGTTGCGCTTGGTACCGCGGTTGTCAGTGGCGCCGTTACCGGCGGCCTGCTGCAGGTCGTCCTGAGTGGGCGAAGGGTTCTCCTCACCAACGGCGGTGATATCGGCCATGATGGAAATAAAAGGGACTAGGCGACGAGAGTAATTGTCTCAATCGAGTGGACAAGTAGAAAAGGAAGGATCTGGGGGACTTGAGGACGAATGCCCAAAGAGGAATGATGCTTTTGAGGGGAAGGGAAGATGACCAAATCGAGTAACGCGTTTGGCTTCGCAGGGTTTGGGTTCAGGACGAGAAAGAAAGAGGGAAACGGGGAGGAGCTGGGAAGTTGTTCGAAGAAGGATAAGTGCCGGTGCAGTTGGGAAGGCGGTGGCTCACGTGTGCTGACCGTACCGTACGCCCCACACGCCCCAGCTTTATACTCTTTGTGCTCTTCCCTTGAAGCTGAGTGAGTCCACCTTTCACTGCACGCGACAGACTAAGAGAGTGTCCTGGTTCTTATTCAAATTGGCACTTTCAAGAGTTCATTCCAGAGTGAATCAACAGCAGGAGCAGAATACACGGCTGGCATCGGTCGGGACTAAGTTTGTCCAGACCATCCAGCAGTCTTGGCAGAGTCTATAATTGGCTCTTCTCAGGTGAGGCACTACAGCCGTTCTCCACCATTACCGCGTAATATTACCGGTAGTACTCCGTCCCACGACTCCCCCAATTCAAGGCCACCCCAAAGCCCAGAACATCAGCCTGGAATTGGAGTAGAAAGTCCACGGGTGACGGAGTACCTCAGCTGCTCTAGGAGGCGAATCGACATGCCAGGTCGACAATGCCTGTCATGTCAACAATAAACATCGCTCGATGCCAGTGGAGACCAGCATACCAACACTCCTCGAGGTGCATCCGCGACTCGGAATCACGCATCTCTAGCTCAATCGACGGCCGCGAACAGAGGTGATCAGTGGGTATCGGCCGCCTAGGAATGCAGACCGGGACAACGACCTAGACAACGCATCGCAGTCGCAATCCACGGACATAAGTACCTTGCTTCAATTGATTCACTACTGCTCCCGGCGAAATACTCACTTCTTCTCGCAGAGGGACCTAAGTCTCGGGGCACAGGAGCTAGCCTGTTGGCCGTTAGCTGAATGAACTGGTGGTACGGACTACTCCTGTGCGATATGCTCCTATGTCACTCATGGCCATCTCACTGCATTACGGAGTACTATTGTTAAGCATCGAACTTTGAACAAGAGATTCGACTGTCAGTGTCGAGTCGACGGGACTAACACTATAGGATCTAGAAAGCGATAGTCCAGCCAATAATCCCCGCCATATCAATATCCGCCAATAACGCCCTGCATTATCAGTATGTATTTACAGAACATGGGCCAAGCAGCACGAGACTCGATTGTACATACCGACTGTACTCCGTCCCCGTAGGCCTGGGGTGTCGAAGAATATTAATAGTCCCTCGTGCCGAGTTGACTTCAGATGGAACTTGAAGTATTATTATCGCAGTCATCCACGATCTCAGATTCCTTACTTCCATTCCTTCACTCAGGCTCTCCTCAGCGCCATCAAACCTGGGAATGTGGGACTACGAGACTTGACACTTAACAGGCTGGCAGCAGGCCTATGGCTTGCGGGTAGGTGTACCAAGGAATTCTTGACGAGCTTGGCTGTTTCTGACCTGCAAGGAGTATCGTACTTCTACATAAGACTTGTTCGGTCCATTGATGAAGCACACTGTCTAGAACATGATCCAAACTTTCCGGTAGAGTGCCTATATCGCGGATGTTGATATTACCATCCCATATAGTCTCCGGATGTCGATGCAGGGGATATCTGTGCACGATCATCTTTATTTGCGACATGCAACGGTGTCATGTCGTCAATGCTAAAGATGAAACAAATGGCTGAAACAATCAAGCATCTTACTCGAGGAATCGATATTAATAATTTGTTATCATATTAGATTTAGAGTAGTAGCAGCGGTATCCTGACTGTAGTAAGATCTAGACTTAACTCATCATATTCTTGGATAATGACATGCGCCAATGACCAAGGTAGCAAAACTCTATTTTTACATATGCATCGAAAGCAATACTCCCCAGAAGTAAACGGCAAGGTCTGAGAAAGGTCGCTCGTATAGACTCGGAATGGCTGAAAACCGACCTCGAACTGCGCCGGAACAACGCCGGATAATAACCGAATGAAAATGTGTCCAACTTCGGTCGTCGTTCGAAGGAGCTTCCATTTCCTGCCACTTCGTAGATCTTCGTCCGTCTTCGTTGGTAGAAAAAGAAATAGGTTGTGAAAAAAGTGAAAATGCAATGAATGTAAATAATGTGCAAGAAGTGAAGGCCCCAAAATTCCAAGGTCCGGCCTTAGAATTGCGCAGTAGAGCAAGGTTGCTTAGTGGATGTTGACAGCGAAATCCCTGATACCAGCACCACCGCCACCCTTGGGGCCGAGCCAGACGATTTCGATCACACTGTGGCCCTCATCTTCTTCACGCACATACCATTGATGGACATTGTCACCAACGACGTAGGATTCCCGCAGGAGCCACCTGTCCTTGGTAACTCCCTCCTGATCCCGAGGACGAAGAGGTCCAAGGCGGGCTTCGTAACCGCGAGGGTCTTCCTCCCATGTCTTCTCCGCGTGGTCGAAGTTGATAGCGTCATCAGGAGTATTCTCGTCGTAGGTGTACTTAACAAGCGAGTACCCGTTGGTGAAAACCCAGAATGTTCGGATAGTTTTCCCGGTAGCGTTGTTGACGATTTCTTCCTGGTCGAAGACCCAGCGACGAAGGACAGAGCGGCGGCCGGCAGCAGCAGAAGCGGAAGTCATCTTCACGACATCCTTAGTGTACCAGCTGTTCCAGTGGTGGAGAGACTCGATCTTGCGACCGGATTCGTAGACACCATCAACCTCTCCCTTCATGTCCATCTGGTACAGCGATGGCCAGAGGGTCAGAGGAGTGTCACCGAATCGCTGGATACACTGGCCAAGCTTCTGGTCACCAGGCTGTTCACCCCAGGACTGGCATTCATCGTAGTAATGGTCAAGTGTGTCTAGCAAAGGCTTGGACACGAAAACTCCAGCTCCTCCGAAAGCAATGTGGCCGAAAGTGTCAACCTGCCAGCTGGCCTCAGACAGAGCACCAATGTAGTGCTTCTTGTTGACATCGAACAGATTCAATTCGTGGGCGATGGTCGGTAGCGAGAGGAAGAAAGTGTCGTCGTCAATAAAGCTGACCCACTTTGTTTGAGGGCGCTTAGTGCGGATAACCTCGGAGAACGCCTTGACAAGGCCGAAGTAACGAGCAGTGAATTCCAGAGGGGATTTGATGAGCGTCAGATCAAGACCTCGGTTGCGGAAGTAGGTCTCCTGCTTCGCAATGTCGTCCTCGGAGTTGGGAACCAAAACAATGATGCCGGCCTTGGTGTTTCCATAGGAGTAGAGCAGAGAAGGAAGCAGACGGTCCAAGCGGTCCGCAGATGTGGCCAAACCAAACAGCAGCTTATCCGTCTCGTCAATATCGTGATCGGCGGCAACATCCACGTCGATGATTGAGGGGCAGGGCAGGCCATCCTCTTTATTAGACGGAGAGATGACCATACCACGTTCAAGGACTGTCATGGGGGGGAGGACAGGAGTGTTGATTTCCTCGAGGGACTTGAACTCGGTCTTAGGAGGCTGGAAGTTGGGTCGGAAGTAGGCACGGGTATAGTTCTTGCGGAGAAGCCACTCGTTGAAGGGCAAAGGAGGCATGATGTTCGGGTCCGCGTCACATTGCTTCGCGACGGACGGCGTAGGCTGGAGCTGGATCTGCGGCGCACCTGTTGTCACTCGATCGACAGGGTGTTTGAATCGCGTGAGAGCTTCGCGATCATAGCGCTCAATGCACCAGAAAAAGAGCCCTATTGAGAGCAGTGCAATGAGGGGGAAAACGGTTTTGAGGCGAAAAGTCGGCATTTTGCTCGGAGGATTATAAGCGTTCTTCAACATGGAAAAGGCTCGGGATATTAAGTAGTCGAAAGGTTATTGTAGGCCGTGGTCTCGAAGAAACATCGACCGGATTGAGAAAGAATTCAGGAGACTCGTTATCAACAGGAAAAGGAGAACGTCTCCCGAGGGGTCGAGAGCGAAATGAGTGAAGATGGAGAACGAATTCACCGGATTAAAGTGTCAACGAAAGACTAGCGGCGTCGATGTCTGTGGTACAGTGACAGTCACCGACGTTCTTTCTGCGAATTCAACACCGCGCAAGTGGATAAAAAATCCAGGGGAAGCGGTAGGTAAGAAGCACAGCTGGACGTACGCCCAGGGCGTTTCGAGAAGGTCAAACTGAAGGAGAAGAGGGCTGAAGGATGTGAAGCCTAGAGAGTCTGAGGATCGGGAGAAGAGAAAAGAGAAGAGGGGAGGGACACGAAGAAATGAGACAAAAGTGCAAGAAGAAGCGATGAGGAGGCAGAAAAGGCGATCCCAAGTGGGAAGCGGGAATTGGACCACGGGCGGGTGAAGCTGCTGCCACTGATCTGCAAAATTACGTGACGGTACCTGAGTATTGTTATTCTGCAGATATGCTAACAATCAGAGAAGAAGCAAAGAACAATTACTGCGAGCTGTGCAACAGACGCGGTTTGATTGATTTATTCCTCAGTTCTTCTAGGTTGTGGTGTCCTGCAAGATCTCTGTTTTCGTGCTGATCGTGGACGAAGAATGCCCGAGTCCACAAGAGTCCCAGCCTCCGGTCAAGAAGATGTATTTTTCGTTGGACCCTTGCCATCGGCTCTCTGGATGGCCTTGAGAGTGGACAGAAGCTTGCAGCGTCTCTGATCCGATAACCTATCGAGTAGGGTGGGTGCCTCGAACTTTGTGCTGGAATTGACACCATATCCATCTCGAAATTTCGCTAATACACTCTCGACTTTAGTAGAGCACGATCAAGGACAACCCCAGAGTCCCAGGGACAGTCCCCAGACTTGGGTCTCCATCAAGCATGAACTGCAGGACATCACATATTTTTCCGCCCATCAGAGAAACAAACAGACATCCCGAAGCATGCATGCATCTCAGAAATGTTGTTGACTCGCTGTTTCATACTTCTCAAACCGATGATCGCCCAGCCTTCAACTGCAAACGGCAGTTAAATTACGGCACGTGGGTTTTTGCAGCTACTACTGCAGTCTGCTGGTATAGGAGGCGGTGGAGTGAGACAATCTCGCTATTATTGTCCCATGCTCCAGTGAGTGGCGGCCTCTTCTATTTTTGCTGTTCGCCATACGATGCGATGGGGCGATGAATCTGAAGAGCTGTTGAACTGCGTCAGATTTATCCAGATACTCGGGCTTGACAGCCAAAAAGCAAAATAACGCAGCTGCAAAAACCTGCTGGAGCCTGGTGCGACCCTTGAAGCACAAAAGGTGAAGTTGGATCAGCGCGGCCTCCCGTCAGTTGGGCCAGTCACGTCGCCACGATCCCCACGGGCCGCGTGTCCCTGGCTGCATGATG